GGATAAATTCCTTTGGAGTTTGGACACTTAAGATTTTGAAGTGTTTCACTGTTGATGACAACGTACCACTAATTCATGTTTTCTTATTACTCTATTTGATGGTTCCTAGATAATACATGCTATATTTCCTAATATTTTCATATTTTAAAATGTTATGGTACAGAACAGTAAATAGTCACAGTAGCAAATCCACTTACAATATTGTTGCTGTAGAAACAGGGATGGTGATGGTGATGAAGCTTTACTTGTATAACCGCACTTATTTCTCACAAGAATCCCCGAAAATAAGTCCTATTGTTATTCCCATCATTTTAGAGATGAGGGAAATGAAGCTTGGAGAGATCAAGTCTATAATTCACTCAGAAACTTAAACTCCTAACCAGTTTGCCTCACTGTGTCTTCTGAATGAAGTCACATGTTACTATACCTCAATACCGAATTTTTTTTTTCNAGCATTATGTTCCCAAACTGACACAGTGAGCCACTAAAAACAAAAGAAAACATCTTTCCCCCAAAGCATCAAATCTTTATGAAGCTAAGTATTAGTAAGGAAAGCATGATATTTCACTAATCTTAACTTTCTTTTATATTTCTTATACTTAAATTTCATCAAACTTTGAGGCTCCAGGTTACAATGCCAGTCTTTTAAAATATCCAGCAATTTAGAAGTTGGAAGTCAGAAACTTAGAAGCTTCTATGAGTGTACTGAGAAGACTGATCAAAGTGAAAGTTCCCATAGTTCCTTTCCTGTCTTTCCTTCAGATTACAGTTGCCTTAAGGAGCTGGAAATGAGATAAACTCCTTTTTCAACCCTGAAGCATCAATAATATGTACAGTATATGAATACTTATCATATTTATCTCTCCAACCTGACTAAAATACATGTTTTTCTTCTTTTTTAGAAATTAAAACTTCAGGGCTGGCCCGGTGGCGCACTGCTACAGTGCGCCGCTTGGGAGCGCGGCGGCACTCCCGNTCCTAACCAGTTTGCCTCACTGTGTCTTCTGAATGAAGTCACATGTTACTATACCTCAATACTGAATTTCTTTTTTCTTTTTTTTTTTTTGTGTGGCCGGTTGGTATGACCAATACTGAATATTTAAATCATGTTTTTAACTATGAGAACTTGGAACACCCAAGTTTCATCAGATAATGAAATCCAAAGATATTCTGAGTAAATCTTTCCTTAATACTATACATGGTGTTTTGTCAGTTTTTCACTACTTTAAAAATTCTGTGATGGGAAAGAGCTAACATTTACTCATATTAATATGCCAAGAACTGTGCTGAACAACTTTATCTTATTTAATTCTCATATTCTTCCAATGAGGTATGTTTAGTTTTATAGATGAGGAAACAGAGACCCAGGAAGTTAATTTCCTCAAAGGCAAATGACTAATACCTGACAGAATGGGGATCTGTACTCAGGTTTGCATAACTAAAGTCTTTGGCATTTTTTACCTTACCCTGATAACTTCCAGAATATAAAACCATCATACATTAAGAAATATACATGTTATGCAATAAATAAAACACAGCATGCTATATTATTGCATATACCATATGAATATACAAAATATTAAGAATTTGCTAAAGGATTTGTGTCTCTAAAATTTTCCCTTTAGAAAGTAACACTTTATATTAATTATTATTTAGATATGACTAAATATTTCTATATTTAAGTTTCCATTACACTTAGTAAGCCGAATGAAAGGTTATCAAAAATTAAAATATTAGGGGCCAACCCATGGCTCACTCGGGAGAGTGCGGTGCTGATAACACCAAGGTCACCGGTTCGGATCCTATATAGGGATGGCCATGAGCAAACCGGCCATCCCTATATGAGATCCGAACCTGTGGCCTTGGTGTTATCAGCACCGCACTCTCCCGAGTGAGCCACAGGCCGGCCCTACCAGTCATCTTTTAAAAAGAAAAATTAAAATGTTACAGTCATATTGTAACACAGAGAAGGTTAAAACATTGACTACTTCCTAAGACTTTCTTACGTATTCACAACTTCTAGTTAATCTTGCCATAAAAGTAAATGGATCTTTTCTAATTGAAAATATGTCTATTAAATTCAAGGAAAATGTTTAAATGATGACAACATCAGTGGCAATAAAAAACAAACAGCATTTTCCTTTTGACTGAAGAGCTAACATCTCCAGAAAATACCCAGGAAAGCAGATAATAGTCCATTACCAGTTCAAAACATCTACATTATGCAGACAAAGATTTCCAAAGCCTCCTAACATTTTTGCTTTGAGTGGTTCATACAAGTACCTTGTACCTCATTAAAATGAAATAGTTTTATGAATAAAAGACACCAGCACAAGACTTTAAGAGTTGTAATGTTCTCCAGAATTGAAGTATAATCTCATACCCAGTATTTAATTTGGGGGTAAGGGGCAGTGGTGGGGAGGCATGGCTGGCTGGTACAGGGATCAAACATATACCCAGTATTTAACATATTAGAAGACTCATCAAGTAATGTCCTGTTAGCAACTAGAAAGCTGCTATTTGCAGTTTTCAACACTTTATGTCTTACAAATTCATGATCTATTTTTGCCATATTAATTTTACTTCTTTATTTTCCTTATCAAATATTCAAAATTAAGTGAAATTCTAACATTCTTTTTTAAAAAAACATTGTTCGATTTTTTTTAGGACACCACAAAGACACACTGTTTTGAAAATCATGTAACTACTATTTAGACTCTAAAACTGAACATCTGGCAGAAGAAATACTCTCAATGAATTTTATAAACCTCTGACGTTAATACTCACCTGCTTCGTTGTTAATTGGGAACTCCCACAGTTTCCCCTCTTTTGTCCACTGGATCATCTCTTCAAACCCATTCTGAAAGGGCTGTTCACTTACTGTGGCTAACTGCTTAGCAAATTCCACATCCCAAAGTGAAGGTGATGTCTCTGTATAATAAAAACATTTTAAATAAGCGCAAGTAACTGTAAACATCTTTTTTTTAAAATGCTATAATCAACTCAATTGATAATATATTGTAACAACCTTGACATTCATAATTAAACAGTACATAATGAAAAGTCACTCACTGTCAGCAAAAACTGCACCAAAAATGAAAATATATAGAGTTAACTACAATAATGGCAAACCTTAACTTTTGTTTTACCACAATGCCAGGGAATCATTGCCCCCTCCACTAGAAAGGAAAAAACAGATTTGTATTTTGTTTAAGTGTGTTTTTTATGAATGTGAATTTTTTTTGGGAGGGGGGGCGGCTGGCCGGTGCAGGAAAATATTTTTTATACAATATGTGAGTTTGATTTTTAAGGTCCAGCCTTGTTTTTTCATGCTTCTCATATCTCTGCATTGATGTCTGGGTATTGGGTGGTGTAGTCACTTCTTTTAATTCTAAGAGTGGCTTTTGAAGGGGGGGGGGTGACCCTTTCCTGTAGAAGTATTTATATTGACAGTTGGGCTGGACATTTCAAATTTGGATCTGGGTGAGTGTGATACTGCAGCCTTCGTGTGACTACTTCAACTGTATTCAATCTTAGAGTTGTCTGTGGGTTCCTTTGTGGCCTAGGTGGAGGGGCCCTTGGCAGTTTCTTGTTGGGGTGGGTTTCTTGTGGGGGTGGGTGATACACTGTTAGTCAGTGGTAGATATATACTGTTGCAGTAGTTCCTGGTAAGTCTGTAGAGGGCCACTGGCTCAGCTGTTGAGCCTCGAGCAAGCCTGTGTGGATGCTGCAGGACCCAGTGGCTTTCTAGAGTGGTACTGTAGGGAGGAAAAGCTGCTACCTGATCAGCTATTGGTTTGGGAATAGGTGTGCACAGCTGTCACAGGGCCTGGCAGCTCTGAAGGTGGCCATCTGATCAGCTGTTGAGCCTGAAGCAAGTCTGTAAGGGTGCAGCTGAGGCCAGCAGCTCTGCAGAGGCCTGGAGTTTTCAACCCTTTTTTGTCACATAATTTTATGATGCGTTTTTGCCATAGAATTTTACTTCTTCATTTTCTTTATCATATATCTAAAATTAAGTGAAATTCCAACATTCTTTTTTAAGAAACATCATCAGATTTTGATAGTTTCAACACAGCCATTTCATTCCTAAATATCTACCCAAGAGAAAAGGCAACATATGTCTACACAAAGACTCGTACATGAAAGTTTATAGCAGCTTTATTTGTAATATCCAAACTTACGTTGTAATGCAGGAAAAAACCCAAATGTCCATTAACAGGTGAATGGACACAAAATGGGATACCGTACATGAAAGTTTATAGCAGCTTTATTTGTAATATCCAAACTTAGGTTGTAATGCAGGAAAAAACCCAAATGTCCATTAACAGGTGAATGGACACAAAATGGGATACATCCATACAATTATATATATACTACTCAGCAATAAAAACAAATTACTAGTACATGCAATAGCATGAATAAATCTCAAATCATTATGCTGAAAGAAGCCAGATACAAAAAGAGTACATACTGTGTGATTTCATTTATATAAAATTTCAAAAGATGCAAACTCATCTACAGTATCAGAAAGCACATCAGTGGCTGCCTGAAGACTGGGTGTGTGTGTGAATGGACTGCCAATGGACATAAGAAAACTTCTGAGGGTGATGGTCACTATCTTGACTGACAGTTTCATGAGTGTATATATTTCTCAAAACTTGTCAAACTATATATTTTAAATGTGTGCAGTTTGTTGCACGTAAATCACGCCTCAATAAAGGTGTTTAAAAATGAATATCATCAATAACTATCCCCTAGTCACTTTTTCCCTAAATTTAATTCTTTAGCTATTTTTTCAAACTTTTTTGTTCTTATTTCTTTTTTCTGTATGATTTTGCTTTTTAAAATAAATTATGATTATATATAGTTTGATGACCTGTTTTTGTTTTTTCACTTAGTGGCCGCATCATTGTTCCATTATATAGACGTATTGCAACTAATCCTCTACTGTTGATAATTTTGATCATTTACATATATTCTCTTTTAAACATTGTAGTAATGAATATTCTTGTAGTTATACTTTTGTGCATATGTGTATTTATTTCCTTAGAATAAATTCCTAGGAACAAAATTTCTGGGTTAAAGGCATAGATAACGTGACTTATTCTACAGTCTACCTCTTTACACACTTTTGCCAAGACTCTAAAGCATTCCAATAAACAGATCATTTATTCTTCTGCCTAAGTAAGCTTTATTTTACCTATTTCACTTTTTCTGTGAGCCTTTATGTGCATGAACATGTCTAACTACACACTGACTGACAGATATTAAGTATGTCAGCCTAGATCATGTCATACAGAGAAAAGATCATAGCAGTTAGTCTCAATTAGCCATATTTACAAAGTAATCACAATGGCAAGATGACTAAATTATCTTGGATACATTTTCTAGTTATTCAGTGGACACTGATCAACCTCATCACAATCATATTATTTCCATCATCAGCAGCATCACCATTATATTATTATACTTGCTATTAGTTGCAGCCATTTATTAAATGTCTACCATTCCAGGCACTGTGCCTGACACTTTTCTTAAATTACCTCATTTAATTCTCAAGATGTATGTACTAGCCCCCATTTTATAGGTGGAGAAAAGACTCAGAAAGGTTAGTGTGGCAGATTCTGAGTTTGAATTCAGATCTACCCAACAGCAAGTCTCTTTCCAGTAAACTATACTGGCTGTTGAGTCTAGATTACTTTAGGATAAGCAGTAGAGTATATGACTATATTCTTTGCAGCAGTGGTAAGAATTTAGTGGAGAACAAGTCATGGGAATCATGTGACAGAAGAGCTCATTCATTCGGTTAGTCAATAAATGATTACTGAAGGCCAACTGTATTTCAGGTATTATTTTAGGTGGTAGGGAAACAGCAGTAAACAATCGCTAAATTTAAGTGTCCACATTGTTATTATTCCTGTATTTAATTGGGAACAAAAGACATTCCTTAGACGCATTCAAGTATAACTTATTAAAACAGTACCTTCATTAAATTATTACATTCAAGTATAACTTATTAAAACAGTACCTTCATTAAATTATTACATAAATTTGTATACTATTTTCCTCTTTAGAATATAATCATTTTGTACTGTTTTATGAAATACATAAAACTTCAGTGCTTCCTCACCAACTAATATCAGTTTTAAGAATAAGATGCAAGTATAGCTTATTAAAATAGTACCTTCATTAAATTATTACATAAATTTGTATACTATTTTCCTCTTTAGAATATAATCATTTTGTACTGTCTTATGAAATACATAAAACTTCAGTGCTTCCTCACCAACTAATATCAGTTTTAAGAATAAGATTTCAGATTTTAAAAAGTAAGCTGGCTCCTTTAAGAATCCAAATGTCTCTTCTAGGTGTTCATTAGGTGGACAGTAACAGCTGCCCTGACAACAAATTCCTTCTAGACACAAGCTTAGCAGACACAACTTGAACAGGGCAGAGGCGATTCATTCTCCATGCCTGTGCATTTTGCATTTCCTTTTCATCACACACGACAGAATGTAGTTTTCACAATAATACAAGGGGGTTGTTCTTTTAGCTTCACCTTCAGTTCAAATAAACAAATATTGATTGAATTAACTCCTTTCCTTTATGGATATATATTTTATGGCTCAGTTTGCTCTAAAAAGGATTTAAATTTAAGATAACTAATTCCTTTTATCTATAAGCCACTTGGCTAGGTGCTGCAGGGTATACAAACATGAACAATACCTGGAGTTTATTGAAGAGTGGAGAAATCAGATGTTTATATAAGTAGCTCATAGAAAGATTAAACGAGCCATTGCAGGCTGGCCAAACAGGCTATCTATCATCTATCTACAATGATATTTCTACCAAGATCCAAAAAGCCAACTTCCATTCTTTAGAAACATCTCTTATAAGCTAGAGACCATTTGTATTGAGTTTCTTTGTTTACTTCATCAGTTATTAAACCAAACTCAATGTCAAACAAGAGGGCACTCTTATTTCTCTTTTAGATTTAAAATGGCGAATTTGAAGAGTTTGACTTCTTACTCAAAGAAGAAAAGGGGAAAACAGAAAACAAAGACTAACCATGTGTTAAGAAAAAACACTACAAGTCTGCTAAATATATTCCCTGAATGTTCTTCTTCCCATCTCTTGAACAATCACTAAATCACTTCAATAAGTTTCTTTTATAGATGCTATCTCCTCCTCTAAATAGTAAGCTGCCTAAGGGCAGGAATCACAGCTCATCTTTCTGTAACGGCACAGAGATGCACTGAAAATAGTGATTATTAATGTCCTAACCCAAATAAGCAGACAATTTATATCTCTGGATTCATGCAGCTAGTAATACAGTACTTACCTGCCATTGTCTCACAGAATGCGACATTTCAAGGGGAAAACCTAATCAAGACTAGCAATGTCAACAACTACATTTTTAAGCAGGATCCAGGCTGATGACTAGATGGAATATTAAAATACTCAACGATTATGCAATCAAAACACTAAGGATATCTTTGAAAGACGGAATGTTTTACCACCTGAGAAATACCATTATTCTTTTCTTAACAAACCTGTTTCAGGTACTTCTTCAGTAACTGCCTTAATGTCAAAAATATTAAGTCTCTTCCCCTTGAAAATATTTTTCCTAAGACTAAAAAAAGAAAAAATATATATTTTAGTGAATATATTTATAAACTGTCAATGAAAAACTGTTTATGAGAAAAAATTTTTACATTAAATATTCTATGTAGAATTTAAAAATAATTCCACTGACCCACACCAGACATTTTAGCTAAATTGCCATGTGTTTAGGACTGATAACTAAAAACAGGAACATATGCACTTAAATTTTTTCTTCACAATACAACATGCCACTTAAAGCAGTATATTTTCCAAAATACCTAATTGAAGATTAGCTTAATTTGCCATAATATTTATTTGATCCTTTTCATATTAAGGCTTTAGAAAACTCAGTGTTGTAGAAAGCTACAAAAATATGCTAAAATAGAAGCTGTTAAAGTCAACATTTGTCTTTAAGGGCAGAAAACGTTGCAATGTTTAATTACAAATTATAACTATAAAAGACTGCACAAATAAATCAAAACATTCCCTTTAATAAAGCAATTCTTCTACAATTTAAAAAATAATTATTAACTTTCTTTACATAACCATTTTTAACTAACTATTGAAATCATGTCAAAGAGTTAATAAATAAATTTTTCTGGTACACTTTAATCAACTGCTTTATGGATCAATTCATATATTTACTTGAATAAATCTACTGGCAGATTAAAAACTAACTGGAAAAAATATAAATACCATATTAAAATTAGATAAAGCAGTCACAAACCACACAAGCTTTCCTCTGTTTCCCAAGTACTGCATTTGTAAACAGAGGCATTCACACTCAAGAACTAGCTTCGGTGCCTTGCATTCTTCTCTCTCTACTGCATGTCAGTTAAACAGGCTGATGGATTAACAGAACTCACAATAAAGAAGAAATGCCTTGGTAAAGTATGAAACTTTAAAAGAGGAATATACTAAAAAGGAAGGGAATGAACATTTGCTGAGCACCTACTATTTTTTAGATGGTTTTCAGGTGTTTCTTTTTTGGTTTCACTTTCAGCACTTTATAAATGGAGAAAGAGACTGATGGAATCTATAAAAGCTGCCCATATTAGACGGTTTTCAGGTGTTTCTTTTCTACTCCTCAAGAAAGCCATTTAAGCTAGGTTTCACTTTCAGCACTTTATAAATGGAGAAAGAGACTGATGGAATCTATAAAAGCTGCCCCAGTCACGGAATTAGTCAGTGGCAGTGCCAAGATTCTGAGGCAAGTTAGTGTGCCTCTAAAGACAGTGCTCCATGTCTCACTCCTCTCAGCCTCTAACTGAAGCAATCAGTCCAGGCCTGCCTTGTCAGGCTGCCCCATATCCTGCCCAAGTCATAACAAGGGGAATGAAATTGGTTATCTCACCATTTTGTGTCCCCTTATTCCCCTTCATCAGCTTTTTTACACAGTCATTGTATGCACAGAAAGCCCTTTCCTACATTTTTATTTTCCCCTTGACACCTTCTAATTTTT